AGGATCCTTGAGGAACATATTTAATCATTTCTTTTTAACTTAAACATTACTATGAAAGTCATATCTATACATTTTGAAAGCAAAATATGGTCAAATGGTTTTGAAAGGTCTAACATTACCTATTGCATGCTCATTGTTATATAATGCAATCAGTAAGTTCTGAAGGTGCCATATTAGTTTTGTTTTTCACAGAATCCATACTGATGATTATAGATAATATTGAATTTGTTTAAATTTCCCGGGTTCTTTTATACACAATTCTTTCCAAAATCTTTGAAAAACACGGCGGTAAGGAAAAAGATATAGTTAAAGGATCCTAGATAACTCGTTTCTGCTGACTTGCTGATACATTTTTAGGTCAGAATGTATGATGGCAGTTTCTACAGATTATGTAAAATTAAAGGCTCACAACAGGAGTCCTGGCTTCTTTAATAGGTGGAAATTCCATCATTACCCAGAGTCAATTTTGAAAAATTCCAACATAAAGTTATCCATCATCGTTTCTCCTTATCCGGGAGCCTTCTACCAGTTGGACGTGGCGGTAAAACCTCTGAAGGGAGGCGTCCAGGAGGCATCCCAATCAGATGCCCAAACCACCTCAGCTGGCCCTTTTGACGCGAAGGAGCAAAAACAACCGTCAGAGACTTCCTCCCAGCGAATCACAGTTGCATAGAGGCAACCCTCTTGTTCCCCGGGGAAAACGCCAACAAAGCAGCGCTCAGCTTGCGGCTCGGCCCAACAACCAGACGCTCGCTGGCGAGCTCCCCGCTTAGGTCTAGCTCCAGAAGGGGACCCCTCTTTCCCTTTTCTGGGCGAGGTGCCAAAACTCTTTTCTGGCCGATTCATATGGGGTTGGTGAATCCTTCATGGTCTGACTCCGCCCCTGAGATCACTTTGGGAGACTGCTTTGAGAGACCCTTCCAGGAGCGTTTGCTCCTGACAGCACAGGTCCCAGGGTCACTGGGGCACACGAAACTCTCCACCACGTTAAGGTGGCGGGGATCCTTAGAGTCATACAGATCAAAATTACTCATGGAAAATAACTCCTTATACAATCTAATGGATTAACTTTTGTATCAACTATCTTTCTGGCAAGGGATGGACCAACACTTGAAAATAAATCATTGAATTTACAATCTATAGCAAGAGGATCAGTGAAGGTTGACTTTTCATCTGTAAAGGTTAAAGGACATTGTGAGGAGGCTTTTTTTTTCCTTTGATGTAACTGATTAATATCTTTTTCATGAAGCCTTGGTATTGCTTTCAGATTTTGTAAACTGGTCACTGAAGAAATTTTTCTTGACTGTTCTAAAGGGGAGGAATACAGTTGTTTTTGTAAGAGTTATACATTATAGGGGAATTGGCATTGAGATATATTCATATGTCGACCTTCAATCCAGCTGAAAACCAAGGATTCTTTGCTTAATATCACAACACACTTTGGCCACAGAATTCACCAGCATGGAATCAACATTATCCAAAGTTTCACAACAGCTGTATTTATTGGTGTTATTGCATGGCATTACAATATACTGTAATGTGCTCTTATTATTTCATCCAACCCATGTATCTGCACCACTGTCCTAAGAGAGTTCACACTAAGCCTGTCATCCAATTTGGACTTAATCTGATTTCGCTAAAAGGCTCCATCATTTAGAAGGTCTTTCAGGGAGCAGGCACTGAGGTGCATTACAACTGGGATATTGTTTGGATTCATTTTCGCAGCAGTTAGCACATTCTGCTTCAGCTCCTAAGCAAACCCTTCTTTGCTCGTGGCAGCTGGCAGATACAGACAAATAGGTCAACAGTCAAATCATATTGAGCTTAATGCGGCTGCAATCAATATTTTCATAAAAACAATGTATCAAATGTCAATATGAAAACAATGTGACAATGTGAAATGGATGCTCCAGCTCCCCTTTGCCTTACAGAGCTTTATAGTGATATTCGACGTATTGTTTAGCTGCCTGGCGTGCAATTTTAAAGTTTCACTCTAACCGCTCTTATAGTGTTGTTTTCGACCTCAGCAGGTAGCTGTTTTCAGAGAAAAAGCTATAAAAGCCCAGAATACACTGACTGCTAAAAACCAAATAGCAGACAGTCACAGTAAGCGACTAGCTGGTGGACATACGTAGTGGAGCATTTAGCAGATAAAGAAACAAATATTTATCTTGGAAGGTGGTGGAGACCAAGTTTTAGCATCTGTCAGGGAAACTGCTTTTCACAAGCTTACGGTTTTCTGAGGTCATATTTAATTAGACTGACACTTGTGTGAGCTGGATAGACTTCTAAAAGTAGAACGTTCCACCAAATCAACCAAGTTCAGTTATCAGGACAGCGCTTTGGTAAGGGGTCATTTTAGAAGCATTCATCACCAACAGAACAGTTGGCCATACTGAGGACTAAGGACCAACCAGGCACCTTTATATAGTGAGGCTATAAATGTGAGGCTGAATGTATGCCTCACATGCCTCCCAGGCAAACCTGGACAGGCGCTGACTTTCCTCAGGAGAAGGCTGATCAGTCAAATTCCATAAACCTATTTGGGATGGATAGTCTTCTAAATGCAAAAGACAGCCCTCAATTCAGAAAACGCATTAGCAAAAATTACAACATCTAGTTCTAGATTCTAGAACAAGAGTATAGCTGAATATAATTATATATAGCATTTCATTTAAGTGAGAATTAGGAGAATATATGAGATTTTACAGTCTCCTACCCACCAACTAAGCATTAAAGCTCCAAAATTGTAACTCTACCCTGCGAGCATTTTTAAGTTGAAATATTTTTAAACTCTTGCTTAATTGCTTCTACTGCCTAAAACAATGCCATTTTTAGGCACAGATGCATCAGTTTGATTGAGTGGAGCCTGGAGTGACAGCCTGACATGAAGTCATTCGGACAGCACCCCATTACAGTCTATCGGATGAGAGAGAGCATATCAATCTCCCTCTCTGTCGTGGTTTTATATTGTAACAATTCGAACACATTGCAGTGCTGTCTTCATATGCTTGCCTGCTATAAGGTCTGCTGACTAGAAGGTGCCTACACAGTTACCTATGAGAAATGAATCTATTTTCAATGCAAATGCAGTTGGATTTCATCAAGCAAGCATTTTTTCAGTAATTATGGAATCACAAGCTTCCTGAATTGTTTCATCTTTACTTGAATCATTCAGACCTCAACAGGTTTCTAGTGCCAACTACTCAATGGCATTGAGCTCTTTGCACTTTGAGTGTTTTTGTCAGTGAATGCTGAAAAATAACTTCCATACAGTCTTGAGCCTCAATGCCTATTACATAAAATGTATCTTACTTGGTCCTAGTGTTTTGTACTGTACAAATACAATAAATATAAAATGTAATTATTCTGACTATAGTAATTATTTCCCCACATTGCTGTCCAGCTGACACATTATGGGTTTGAAACTATTGCTGCTTAGTCTGTTCAATCTGGCAGACATAACCTGGCTTCCTTTGCCCTTCAAAAAGATGACTGACACTTTTATATGCTACAAACAATTATCCAAATTGACTTGGATTCAAAGAGAGGCCAGACATGTCAATATGCATCAACTATATTGAGGGGGCAAACTTAAACAAACACTTCAAAAGGTCACAGTGGGAAAAAGAAAAAGAAAACAATGTGATTCTTTTATAAGGTGAAAAATGAAAAAGATATCTTTCGGTTTTAGGAGTTGGGAGCCGTACAAGGAAGAAATTGGCAAAGGAGTTGCACCAATATCTTGTAGGATGATCTCTCAGTAGCACAGTATCAACTTTTACTATCACAAGCCCTCTGTAAACAGGAAATTCAAAACGTAATTCATCGTGGTATTTCCAGTAATATTGCATGCTTTGCAGAACCAATGCAGTTCTGTAATAATGCCTCCAATAATATTGGGCCTTACGTATGCATAGGTAAAACGGGATGAAGCCTGAGATTATATATATATATATATATATATATATGAAGATAGTGACACTTGCAATATGTTAAGGGGATACAACCATGGCCTGTGATAGAAATCACAGCTGAATACCAGTGGAGCGAATTGTTGCAGTGTTTGCTGTTTCTGGCTCAGGCTTTGTGAAGAGAGAACAGGCTTGAACAAATTACCTTAAAGTGAAGTGTACAGAATTTCCATTTGCTATCCAAGTCTCAAAGATTGTTTCGTGGTGCTATTTTGGTGGATTTGGTAACACTTATAGTGTCTGATTGTCACATCAATATTTCACACTTTCATCTGGAACAGAATAAAGTATTGAAGGAGCGGACAGCATTGTGGCCTTGCAGCATCTACTCTGCCTAGAGATTCATTTGGAAACAAACACAGCAAGTACAGCAAACAACACGAACAAATCATCATAGTTAAACTGGTAATGTGCCGAGTATGTTATTAAGAGGGTACATCAGCAGTAGATCGTCTTCGTTCTTATTTTATTCAGCTACTGTCTCATTAACCATTAGCATAGTCTCCACAAGCTGCTCTCTTCAGTGTTTGACAGTATTGCATATCTGTGTTGCGATCATTCCCCGTGTGTGCATCAAATTAACATATTTGCCGGGATCCACCGACACCCAAGTCGTCCAACGTATAGTAGTACAGGAGGCGCTTACAGAATGCAAATACTGTATAAGCCAACCTTCATTACAAGACTCACAACGTAGACAAATATACAATATTTTAGATGCATTATCTCATTTCAATGAAAACTAAAATGAAGTAACAAACATGTATACATTGAGCTGTTTACTGGTAAATAGAAAAACAGTGGCAAGGAAAACTGTGGCCCATCGCAAAGACAACTTGAGATTCAGCTGTTTCTTGATTTCCAAAGCTTTCAGCTGAAAAGCAGCTCTGGTGGCACTCTTCATTCTATTTTTCAGTCACATATACTCTGCTATCAAGTTCTTGGAGGAAGCTGTTTTTTGGGGCCACGGAGAGATTTCCACTGACTGGATTTTTAAGACTGTCTGTAAGGATTTGCCATCTTCTAACATGACGTACTGTGACAGCATATTTCTTGGCCAGTCTGTTTCTGTGGAGAAAATGTCTGGAGATACTTTCTAATACTTGGAAAATCTAGACAAAGCACTGAGTTTGTAGCCTCAATTTTCTATGAAAATAGGTTTAAAGCCTTCTTTTTCTGCCATCTAGCAACTAATATTCTGACAGGCCTGAAATGATTTACAAGTCTGCAATTTGACATTAATGTTTGATATGGAAGAGTTGAACACATCAGAAATTGAGGATGGAGATAGATCTGATGGTTTGGGTTACCATGGAGAAGCTTGAGCTTGAAGACCTGCACACCTGCAAGAACCCTAGGTTGAGGCTTGACTTGTGCCCTCACATTTTATTACCGCTTGATGAGCAGGCCTGTGGTGCCATTAGTTGAACACAGCATGGCAGACACATCCTCTTAAGCATTGGTCAGGCTCGCCTCCATCATCTATCCCTCAGCTGCACCAACCTCCACTCTGCATTTTGCCATTGGAATATTTTTGCAAACTTGCAAAGTCATTTCTGTTAAATTACTTCACAAGTTGGTCCATTAATATGGCAGGCTATCAAGGTCAAGCATGGCAATCAATGCCTTGGCACATCACCAACCAATATTTCTTACTACTTGCTACAGTAAAAGTTGCTACTGTTGAAAGCTACTCAAAGGCAGGATTTAGAG